AGAAAGAAAAAGACAAAGAGAGAAAGGAAGAAAGAAAGAAAGAAAGAAAGAAAGAAAGAAAGAAAGAAAGAAAGAAAGAAAGAAAGAAAGAGAAAAAAGGAAGAAGAGGAGGAGGAAGAAAACTCCTAATGGTATGGAAGAACCAAAGAAAGAAAACCACCCATAATCCCATCTCTAACGCTCAAAAGAGACTGGATTAGCTATGATGACAGGAAGAAAAACCTGGGGCTCAAGACCACATAGGATAGTCTGGTTTGGTTTTCTCAGTCTTACTATATAGCCATGCAGGTGACTAAGAGACTTGGTTTTATTTAGGGACCTAGGAGGACCATACCCAGAAATTACTCATTTCTATAAACCAGGTGGATCACTCACTGCCTCTCACAATATTCTATGCAGAATCCACGCACATTTCATTTCATTTCATTTGTCAATTCAAGTCACATGTTTATGCCTAACATTCAAATCTAATTTCTAAGGGAGGAAAATCATAACAATTAAACTGCCACAGACAACCGTTATTAAAATCAGATGTTGGAGTTTGAGGTTTATTTGTATAGTAATTCATTTTTAGTTTTCGAAATTGATGTATGAGTGATTTTGACAGCAATCAAGTTATTGAAATATTCCGTCGCTCTCTCTCCCTCTCTCTCTCTCTCCTTTCCCCTCTCTCTTCCTCCTCTCTAGTTTGAATGACATTGTGGTGGTTGGACCTGAACAATTTTATGCCACCAGAGACCACTATTTTACCAACTTCTTTTTGGCACTTCTTGAGATGTTCTTAGATCCTCACTGGACTTACGTCGTGTTCTACAGCCCAAGCGAGGTCAAAGTGGTAGCCAAAGGGTTTGGTTCTGCCAATGGAATAACAGTCTCACGGGACCAGAAGTATGCTTTTATCATTTTTCTACCCCTTATCTTTAATGCTTTGGTGAATTCCTTCCCTTAAGAGGTACCTTGGGCTGAAGGAGTCAGTATATGGGGGTGGGGGAGGATCAGTTGTGGCCAGCGTTCCTACTGCTGTGTGATCTAAAGCAAACCATTTGTTGGCTTGTGCTTCGGATTCCCCCAGTACAAGGAGTGAATAGACTCAAAAAATAAGTCCTTGTTCCAAATGTTTATTAGAAATATACTTTGTTTGCTAACACATTGGAAATTTGGATAAATGGACAATACTTCCACCCTTTATGAGGCTAGCAAGTATTGAATCACTTATACTAAGTTCAGTTACCCAAAACCTCGTACTAGAGAGGGAGGCCTACCTTAGATTGGGCACTGTAATTGTAAAAATTGCAGACTTGCTGATGCCTGGCATTAAAGTGTTCCTTGACATTTTTAAGTAGCATGAAATTTTATGAGAAAACACTGTTTATAAGTGTTTGAAAGTTGAAGAAATTTTTTTAAAAATAAGTACCATGAATATTGACATGTAAATTTGAGATAATGACCGCAATGATCTCTGGAGGAACATACCTGTAAGTGTTCCTCCTCTTTGAAGAAAAATGATTATGACCCAACTTCATGGTCACTTGAAACTCTTTTCAAGCACTGCTTTTTGGAAGTATGCCTCTCTGCACCTTAGAAGAGGTCCACTTTCCTGCATTCAATTTAAAGAAAAACTTTTAAATTCTCAGAAATGAGATTGAGCCTCTCTGTCTTCCAAAATACCAATTTTGTACTTTAGAGTCACATCTCATAGTCAAAGCCTATCTAAACATTTCAAGAATATTAAACGTACCACTCCATTATCTTTCATAGTGGTTTAGAAAGGTACTTCAAACTATAGGGGTACTTCAAACTAGTGTGTTCTCCAAAATAATGGTTCGCATCAAATCTCATTACCACTTTCTTAAATGCCAATGTTATTTACTTCAAAGGTATATCTATGTAGCTGATGTAACAGATAAGAACATTCATGTAATGGAAAAACAAGAAAACTGGGATTTAACTCAACTGAAGGTAAAAGTATCCGGGTTTACCCATCCAACATGGCCTCTAGCACCAGCCCCACCAGCCTCCTTGAATGAAGGAACAATGACTATTTTAGAGTAAGACCAGTGAGATCATGCTTCTGTTTGAAGCATACATCCCTAAGTCCCCTAAAAACAATAATCTTAGGTGCCAGAAGTGCTGATGGGAGGTAGGGAGGAGAGGGCAGTATGTCGAGATAACGCCTGCACCGCTTCCTCTTCGTCGGAAGGTAATACAATTGGAAACCTTAGTGGATAACCTGACTGTTGATCCTGCCACGGGAGATATTTTAGCAGGATGCCATCCTAATGTTCTGAAGCTGCTGAACTATGACCCTAAGGATCCTCCAGGGTCAGAGGTAAGTGCCTATATTTCTCTGAACTCACAGGCAAAGCTATGAGGACGAACAGTTTGTTGAGATGACAGGATGATTTAAGGGATGACATTTGACATTCCATTGGAGATTTTGACAGGGAAGGGAGACATAATTCTTTATCCCTTTAAGGACAGCAGGTGCCAATACAACATCAGTCCCAAACAATATGTCCCCTTTGTGCAAGGGCTGTATTTGCCGTTGGGAGTAATGGGGAAATATGAGCTTGATTATTCATATTGACCTAGATTGTCTAAGGTGTTTCCAACCTGGCTGCCTATGCCTTTTCCAACTAGGTCTAAATAGGCCCTGTGGTAAGATAGAAAGAGACATGTACAAGATCATCTTTCAGACTACCTACCATGAAGCTCAAGTAAAAGGATTTAAATGAAGTCTCAAAACTAAAAGACTTTTTTTCTTCTAAGTTGTAATATATATGGAATTGTTAAAGAATACCTTGTTTTAAAGATTTTGGTTATTTAGGCTGGGCATGGTGGGGCATGCCTGTAAACCCAGCTCTTGGGAGACTGAGGTAGGAGAACTGGCTTAAGTTCAAGCCCAGCCTTGACTATACAGTGACCTCAAGGTCAGCCTGAACTGACCCTATCTCAAAAAATTTTTTTTGTTACTAAAAATGTCTCTTCTAGGAGATTCTTATATAAGAAGTAGATGGAGAGGGACAAACAAGGGAAAGGAGGGCAATGACGGGGTGGACATATCAGTGAATGTTATATTTTGTGTTTGAAAATTACACCATGAAATCTATTCCTCTGTATAATCAATATGCACTGATACAAATACCTCTTCTAAAACAATAATATAAGCCATTGAATTTTTAGCAGTATTAAAAACAAGAATACACAGTACTGCATTTTATATGGCTTTGAATTTAACAATAAAAAATTCTCTAGTGAATTTAACTATAGCTATAAATTCTTGGCAAGCAGACTCCAAGATGTATGTTCATAGACATTTACTGTGCACCTATCATGTGGCAGGTAATTGTTCTAATGCTCAAGATATGTTAGAAAGTCAAGCAATAATCTCTGCTCTAGGGCAGGAAGGACAGATATTGAACAATGAAATTAAGAAATAAGTAAATCATATAGTAAGCCCAAAGATGCTAATTTCCTCGAGAAAAGCAGGATTTTTTTTTTCACATCAGGATAAAGAGGGTCAGGATTGCTATGAACAAGAGGTCAGGCAGGCTCAAATATTAAATAAAGGGCAGAACAGACCTCCTTAAGAAGGTGTGTTTTGAACAAAGACAGATTTGGGGAGTTAGGAAACAGATTCAGATCCTAGCCTGGTAATCAACCCAATGGGCAATTTAGAACATAAAAGTTAATTCTATTGAAGAATATTGCACTTTTCCAGTTAATTTTTTTTCCTCTTAAACTAACATATTAGTCACAGATTCTTAAAAAGAGCTCCAAAAAAATATAAAAAGAAACAAAAGTCCAGCCTGAGTCTTGAATCAGAATTGTTTCCCCAAGCTAGCAAATACTCCCTGCTTCATCCCCAAAGATAGGTGTAACTTTTCTACAAAAACCTAACTACAGCATCTGCTTTAAAGCAATGCAAATAGAACCCATAGAATAATTGCAGACTTGTTCAGGATTTTTTTTCACACCCCTGTTTTTGAGTTTGACCATCTGTTTATTTTATATAACTCTTCTTTCTTTACAATTGCTTTTGGTTGAGTCTTCTGTTATTTATGCAATCCAAGCTTAAGTACTTTTGTGTAACAAACCTAGGATGAAGTTGTAGGATCTTCTTTATTTTTTCACTGTTTAAGGAATCTTCTTTAAGATTAGAGAACAACACTGATCATAAAAAATACTTCTCTAAACTTCATTCTAACAGGAGTGTGGAGAAAGACTCCCAACTCATGAAGCGCTGATTGTTGCCCTTTAATTCCTCTCATGTTCTGTTTGAATTGATTTTATCCAGGCTCTTTGGGAACCTGAGTGCTTCTGAATTCACTGATTAGCGAAGTTAAGTGTTTAGGGATCGATACCCCCACAAGTCCAAATCAGCTGGAAGTCCGAGCCAGTGTGTGTTTTCTGCTTCCTTGCAACTTTACAGACATGAGGGTTTCTGGCTGTGGTGCTTACCATCCTCCCAGTGAACAGTTTAGGGCGGCTGGTTGACTCAGATCCCTTCAGCCTTTTGTCCCGTGTCTCCCCTCATGCTATAGGCTCAGTTAAAGACAAGACCTTCCGCACAGAGGCAGGACCACTGTCCGCTGCGGAAGTGGGTAAGAGTGTTCGTTGGGTGTAACCTCCTTCTGGGGGATATGTGCACTATCAAAATTGTTTAAGCTTTCTATTGAGGAATTTGGCAAATGTCAGATAACCAGTCCATTTTAGTGCATAGACATCATTAGGATTTAATATCTTCATCAGAGGATAAAAAGTACTTTAAGGTAGATCTCTGAAGATGATGCCCTAGAAGAGTGGGGAAAGAAAACATCACCAGATAGCCGCTTGCTCATACAGTGTGCTAACGAGTGGTCTTCTCGTTGACAGGTACTACGCATCCAGAATGTTTTATCGGACAAGCCGACGGTGAGCACTGTCTACGCCAATAATGGTTCTGTGCTTCAGGGCAGCTCGGTGGCTTCGACGTACCATGGGAAAATTCTCATAGGCACTGTGTTTCACAAAGCTCTTTACTGTGTGCTCTAGACTTCAGATGTCCCAAAATCTCTATATGATTTGTCATGTTATGATAAGTTTAAAAGGAGTGCAGAGAAATTACATAATAGTCACCAAATGACAAGTTAGGTGAGCGACAGTCCACCAAGAAACCAGAGTGCACCTCGCTGTCAAATATCTCCAGTATTCTTCTACAATAAGAACTGTGGGCTGTGGCCATGGAAGTTGCTGCCTCACTAAGAGCCTTTGATAATTGTGGCACAATTGCCTTCAACAACTGTGATACTGAGTCTCCAGCACTCCAGTCCAGAAGAAAAGTCATGCTCAAGAAGCTACGATTTCTCTCCTCTCAGTTTTGGTGGAGACCAACTGCTAATCGAGTGCCCCTGCGTTCAGCTAAAAGCAGGAATTAGTATGAGACTGTCCAAAGCCATGCATTCTTAGGGCTGGGAATGTAGCTCAGCAGCATAAGCGCCTGCCTGGCAAGAGCAAGGTCCTGGGTTCGATTCCCGGTACCAAAAAATAAAAGCAAAAAAGCCCAAAGCCATACATTCTCCCCAAGCGCAGGGGCATCCCAATCAGAGAAATTTGCCAGATACATAGGGCTGATGGGGTCATTTGTAGTAGATCTTTCTTTGTATTGATACTTGTGCATCAAGTACTGCTAATCCTGCTCTGCTCTGAATCGTGAAATGCAGCCTTAGGGCAGTTATCTTGCACCGCTTTCAGCTTGCTCTGCTGCTCATTTCAATAAGCATTTACTAAGCAACCTCCTGTATACTTGGCACTAATAAACCTGAAATGAATAAGATGGTCCTGGCCTATATATGTTTATCAACAGATGAATGGATACAGAAAATGTGGTGTTTATACACAATTCTTTTTTATGGCCATCTCCCACAAAGAAAAATAAACTTGAGTCATTTGTAGGAAAATGCATGTACCTTGAGACCAAGCCTACATATAGCATGGTTTCTCTTATATGAGAAAACCAAAATATAAATAAAAAGCAAAATTAAAGGTAGATAATAGGAAAGAGAAAGAGAGAGATCAAATGGGAAAAGGATCAAGAGATAGAAGAAGGAGGAAGGGAGAGGAGGGGAAAGGGATAAAAAATTAAGATGCGGTATGTACCAACTCTCCACAAGGAATGTAACCATCACATGCTGCCGACATGCACTAATAAAAAATAAAAATTTTTTTAAAAAACCCATAAGAAAAGATGTCCCTGACCTAAAGTTATCTCTAAAGGGCTAACCCATTAGGAAGACCCCATAGCAATTTTTTTTTCTTTTTGAGTCAGGGTCTCACTATGCAGTTCAGACTGGTCTTAAACTTACTTTGTAGCTCAGGCTGGCCTCAAACTCACAACGCTCCTCCTGCCTCAGCCTCCCAGGTGCTGGGATTACAGGCGTGTGCCAACATGCCTGGCTCCCATGGCAAATTTTAAAAAGAAAATTATAAAGGGCTGGAGATGTCCCTCGGTGCAAAAGTACTGCATTCAATCTCCAGTACCAAAAGGAGAGAGACAGAGAGACAGAGAGACAGAGAGAGACAGAGACAGAGATACCAAACCAAGTTTAGCTGATGAAAATGAATAAAAATGTCCCATTCTTGGTCAAAAACAAGGATAACCTTTAGCCAATCATTAATAAGAATTAATTAGTTCACCCACGTCCATTTTGTGACTTCTGTTATGGAGTAGGTATTGATTTTTCTCCCTTTTGGAGATGGCAACTTGGGGAGATTTCTTCAGATCCTAATTAACATTACTCAATTAGAGGTAAGTTTTGCTAAAAAGCTTTTATTAGGGTACTGTTCTACATTTTAGCCCATGTAATCCTTTAGACAGTAAGACTGTGAAGTTTCCATTGCTTAAAAGGAAGAAAGCAGGGCTGGGAATGTAGCTCAGTGGCACAAGCGCCTGCCTGGCAAGTGCAAGGACCTGAGTTCAATTTCCAGCACCAGAAAGTAATTAATTAATTAATTAAAATTATAGCCAGTTATCTTAAGTTTCAAAAGTCTAGCCTTGAGGGGGAATAAGAAATAAATGAAATTAAGGGTATATACAGCATAGTCCATTTGGAAGAATCTAACAATTTTTTGTCCCTAAGCGTCACACCAGCTGGACTAGATAAAGCTTACCAGACTAGAGCAGAATGAAGAGGGTTAGAGATGGCAAGAATAAGAGACTTGAGATGCTACAGGGTTTCTGAGAGCTGCCCCTGCCCTGATTTCTTCCAGGCCTACTTAGGAAAGGCTGGACGACAGATACTTCCAAGAAATTTGGGGGATCTGATGGCTGAAGGACTAATATGTTCTTCTATAAACAAAGCGACAAGCTGTGTGTTTCCCCTATGCCCAGCCTTTTGGGATAGCAAGCGCCAACGTGGCTGACCAGGCACGGCACAGAAGCTCTGATATTATCTGCACTTGAAGCTGACATCAAAGCAAATCAACTCTCATGCACGCAAGCGGGCACAGATAGCGGAGATAGAACCAATGGGCGTTAAGACGTCTTGCTACTTGGGGAAGAAGACAAATATGTAGGCATTTGATTAGCAAGAGACCAGAGCTTAGGTGCTAACAAGCACCAGTTGGCTTCTGTGATCCTTGAGCTCTGCTAAAACCTCCTAGGGTTTAGATCAAACTCCAAGAATTGGAAGGTGGCTGCGGGATTGTTTTATACATCGGTTCCTGCTGCCAATCCATTTGGAGACTCAAAACCCCAGGAGGCTATGGGAAAGAAATTTCTGGTGTGCTTTATGATTTTAGCTTTTTCTGAGTTGGTGCAGTACAGAGTAGAAAGTACTAAAACCTTTTCCTAGCAGACATGTACTTACATCCTTTCCTTGGCAGTTCTGTATCTAAGACTACTTGGTATTAAGCTGACCTCTCCTCAGATGCCAATGGGAGATTCAATTCCACTTAACCTCGGGTACACTTTGCTCCTGCTCTTATCCAAATGGGTCTGTCAAGGTTTAGATCAAGAATGGGTCCCCCACTCCCTCACCCGCACCCAGACTCTCAGTTCTCAGAGGCTGGGCTGCTGGAAAGTGACTGAATCGTGGGGCTTCCTGATAGCTAAATATCCTGTTAGGTGGTGGCCCTGGTTGGGGGAGAAGAGGCTCACTGGGGATGTGACCTGTAAGGATGTATCTCTGCCTCTTCTGGCTTCTTGACCACCATGACATGAGTGGTTTGGCTTTGCCCGGTCCGTCTACCATGTGGTTTTTTTGTTGGAGCCAGACGACCATGGACTGACACTTTTGAAGCCGTGAGCCAAAATAAACCTCTTCTTCAAACTGTGAGGCTCAGATATTATATCTCAGTGACAATAAAGTGACTAAAACAGGGTTCCCTTGGGGACCCATCACCCAGTATCTCATCATTTTGAAAAAGGCCCTGGTAGGATGGCTCAAATTTGGACTCCTCCTAGAATAGCTAACTAACCTATTTTTGCCAAAGGAGAGGAGTGTAGGTTGCCGTATTCATAATCCTTCTGCCCTATAATCTTCTTTAGCTTTTCCTCCTCTTCTTATGTAGGCACAGATTTATCAGCAGGCTTCTTGTAGAGACAGTCATCTAGACCCACCTGTTCCTATGTAAGCCTTCCCAATCTTTACACGACTGTCTTGAGCCTGTTCAAGGGACCTGGAGGAGGATAATTACCTTCACAATTGGTGCTGCATTTTGGTGATAATTGAGGGACTTGGAGCTCTCTCAGGAACCACAAGTAAACTCTGACTGTAATATTTGCCTCTAAAATATTTTGAGTTATTCATAGAATGTGAAACACTTGGTGATTTTTGTGTATATAACAAAAAACAGTCTTGCTAAGTTATCCAGGCTGGCCCTGAACTTGCAGTTCTCTTGAGTAGCTAGGATTACAGGCATGTGCCACTGCACCAAACCTGTAGATACTAACTATGACCACAGGAAAATTCTTAGTCTATTTTGCTTTTGTATCTAACCTGTGTTAATTTAAGTAGCAGAAACATTTAGAATAGTCAGTCATGCTGCTAGACATGAGCTAACCTACATTAGCAACAACCACAAATTTTAATGGAAAATGATATACCCTTCAACATGACAGCACAAGCTATATAACATCTAATCAAATAGTTTAACTAAGCCTATATAATAACTCTACATAGAAAATATTAAGACTTTAACAAAAAAACCTAGAAAATATACTAACTATATAGATACACATTTCAGTACCTTGGATAAACTTAAAAGAATACAAATGCCCTCCAAATTATAAATTCAAAGTCCAGGAGGATTTTTAGAAGATAAAGGTATTTAAATTTTACAGGGAAAATTTGTATTTCTTGCAGTGCAATAGGTTAAATAATTCAGGACCAAATTGCCTAATGAAAACAACAACAAAAAAATAGAAACAAGGATTTAAAAATGTTTTTGAAAACAGCAAATATTTCACAAAATAACTGAATCATCAAGTCATAATACAAGAGAAAGCTGAGATCCAGAAAGGTAATTAGAATTGAAATCACGCTTGCCTTGAGGGTTTTGAATTAGTTGAGCGCTGGGTATTAAGATCTCACAGGGAAAGGGGGAACTGAAGTGAATTCCTAGGTCAGCCCAAAGTGAGGACACTATCAATGGACTGTGCTCTACAGAGCCAAAACCCTGTAGCCCCAAAGAGGCCCATTTGCAACTCCCAAAGCCTAAAGGGAAACTTGCCTTGGTGCTAAGAGAAGTATACAAAAACACTTAATATTGCTGAACAGTGATAGCTATTTGCCTATCATCATTCAAATACTGACTCCAAATTCCCACTAATTGGTCAAAAAAAATCTTAAGTTCTGAAAAGATGAGAGGTGAATGGTGGTTGAGGAGAATGGGAGACAGGAGCATGGGAGGGAGGGACACAGGGATCGATGGAAACAAATTAGAGCTAAGGGAGAAGTTCCAGTGCGCCAGGGCACAGAAGGTTGACTGGCCATAGTGGAAATGTACTCTGTATTTCAAGAAGTTGGAACAAGGACTTTGAATGTTAGCACTATCTGCATAAAATAAACGTTTGAGGAGACAGATTTTTTACCCAGTCTTGAACATCGCACAATACATACATCAAAATTTCAAGTAGTGCCCCATAAATGTGTTCAGTTTTTGTGTGTATATCTATATATCTATGTATCTAGAGAGAGAGAGAGAGAGAGAGAGAGAGAGAGAGATGTACTAAAACTTCTCAAGCTGTGAAAGTAGTATAAAATCATGCCAGGTTAGTGCTATATCTACACAACTGCAAGAAATAAATACATCTTCTCTGGATTTTGTTCTAGGTTAAGAAATTCCTATAACTAAAATAAATATATAAATAAATTCCTATACATAATTTTCCAAGGAAAATTAACAGCAATTCATGAAAAAAAACAAAGAAATAGGGCAATATAAACAAGAATCAGTGAAACAAATGAAGCAAATGACTGGAAAGAGGCTTGCAAAGCATGGATGTGACAACTGTACTTACAGTGTTTCAAAAAATTAAAGATAAGCTTAAACTCAGGGCACAGGAAACTGTACGAACTGACAATAGATTTGGAAAAGATCAAATTAAACTTAGCAAAATGAAAGTGAAGTAACTGAAACGGGAAATTTACTGGACAATCAGAAAACATTTTAATATGTATCAGCTTGAAAAATGTCCGGTGTACATTCACAAAGGTCACTCAAACTGAGGGAAATGTTTTTCACTCTTTATTTTCAAAGTTGCGAGTAGGTGTTTTCCCCCACTTGGACAGGCTGGGAAGGACGACTTCTAAGATACAGAGGACTTAACCAGAC